AGGCTGACGTTTCGGGCCTAGACCCTTCATCAGAAAAGGGTCTAGGCCCGAAACATCAGCCTTCCTGTTCCTATGATGCTGCTTGGCCTGCTGTATTCATCCAGCTCGACACCTTGTTATCTGAAGTGTAGAGTTTCCAGATTTTGCACTAATTGTTAATACGGTCACAAAGTGCAACCAAAATTGTGTTAGTTTCAAAGTGAAGTTATGGCTCAGGCTTCGGCTCAAATTCTTTTGCACAGTCACAAATGCAAAAACTTTCATGAAGCAGGGCTGTTGGGCAGCAGTTAGAACACATGCATATTTCCTTTCCTTGCAAGTAAATTTTCTATGAAATATTTCAGAGTGGTGATTTATTGCAGCTTCATTAATGCAGCTAAAACTGGGTTTATCAAAAAATGTATCTTTGCAAGTGTCCACTGTGACACCTGTGAGCAATCTAATACAAATAACTGAAAATAACTTTATAAAATATCCATTTACTAGTTTTATTGGTGTACACTAGTCAGTTTCTTAGTATATTCAATACTGTTTAATATTAAAAGCTTTTAAAAGGTGCCTGTTAATGGTTTGCTTAAAAAAAAACTTTATTTTGAAAACCTCCTCTTTGATATTAAACAGATGTAATTCTTGGTGACTCACATATTGATTACTTGTGTCTGAAGTGTGGTCAGTTACTTGGGTGAGGGTGAGATTCCAGCATAAGGCCTTTAAAGCAGCAGAAATATGATTTGTGGAAATATCATCTCCAATTTAAGAAACAGCTCTCACCCATTATTTTTAGGACCCGACTAACAATAGTGCTCTTATTACACTTCGTAAGTCTCTAGCAACTACTCCTGGCCACAAGAAAAGTAGATCTTTACTATCTTTCCCCACAACTAATGAGTGTCTGAGAGAAGGCCAGAGACTGACATTTATAATTGTCAGACTTGATTCATCCTGAAAAAGTTGATTTCACGTACTAACCTTGCAAAGTCCAGGTCCGCCTCCCGAGACATGGTAATGTTGGTCAGGTTCTGCTGCAGTACAAATATGTTCCTGCACATCTTCTTGATTCCTGATTCACTGATCCGCTTGAAATACTGTGCACCATTGATCAAAATGCAGGAAATCAAGTGGCCCAGGCCTAGATTTGTGGTGCAGGAAGAGAGACGGGAGGAATGAAAACAATTACAAGTTTCTCAGAATTAAAGTCAGTCACTTAGTCCCAACTCGAGCAGAAGCAAAGCCAAATCTATTGAATGTGGAGTGCATCAACATCCAAGTCTATGTCAATTATTATCCATTATCCATACTCATTGAAGGTAACATTGGGAGCAGAAGTGCTTCATCTGGCCCCTCATGTGGAATCACTGCTGCAATTTGCTTCCTTGTCTGCACAACTCCCTCCCACTACCATGAATGAATTTTCATTTTTATAACAATTATAAGCAGCAACTGTAGCTTACTTTTCTTTCAGCTAGCTTCAGAATACACTGATCAATTGCAGTTACGTTCCCCTCACTTTTCACAGGGAATTGCACCTAGTACTGTAGTGATTGTAACAAGGTCAGCCAAGTGAAACTCATAGAATTAACAGCTCCAATCAGGGAGTCCTGGTTGACAGATAACAACACGAGTGCCAGACATCCTGTTCACTCTGATTTCTGGCTCCGAGGGAGTTAGATCAGTGTCTAGAACTCTCCATGTTTAAAAAAGGGTGACTTGGTGATGGGATACCGGCTTCTGTGGAGTTATTTCAGTGGCAACGAGAGTGGGATTAATGATGTAACCATGCAAAAGTGCTTACTAGCTGGAGCCCAACTAGACTTCAAACAAGCAGGACAACTGGATTTATCATTGGAAAATGCGGCAAGTGGAGCATATAAATTGTAGAGTATTCCAGTGGAAGTGGACAGCCTCGCTAGTCCGAGCTTGGGGAACACCACTTGAGTGAAGGCAATCGCATAGCCTCACTCAGGACATATCCAAAACAAAGGAACTCTAGGTCAGCCCACAGCAAAACCCCAAAAGCCAAGCCAAGCCTTGGCTAAATGGTTAAAACTTTCTTCAGGATCTGGGCCAGCGAGCCATTGGAGTTGCTGCCAGTATACAGACTTAAGACATCAAAAGAGTCCCATGACACCTAAATTGAGTCAAAGAATGCATAGGCTGGTATCCAGGACAGTGCACACCCTGGAAATCCACCTACAACTGGTTTGGAATCAATCAACATCTGGATAAACAGTTACCCAGTACTAATGGAGGTTGATACCAATGTGGCTGTTTCATTGATTGCTGAACCAGCTTTCAACAAAAATCACCCTGGACTCAGTTACACGTCAACTATACAGGTTCTTTCTTGGGCTCAATATTCTTAGTCATTGTGGACGTCCACTCAAAGTCGCTGGACGTCCACAGAGTTCATTTGTCAAATGCAGGGACTACAACAGAAAAACTGTGCACATTTTTTGCGATACACAGGCTCCCAGAAGTGATGGTCACTGATAGCAGGCCATTGTTTACGGGCAGGGAGTTTGAATATTTCCCAAAGTCGAATGGTATTCGACATATAAGGCAGCTCTGTACCATCCAACACCCAATGGTCTGGCAGAAAGCACAGTCCAAACTTTGGAGGCAAACTTAAAGAAACAGCCTACAGCTTCACTAGATGCCAAACTGTCCCAGTTCCTATTTGACTATAGGACCACCTGTCATGCAACCATAGGGTTAGATCCAGCAGGGTTGCTAATGGGGAGAAGACACCGCACCAAGTTAAATTTGATCTTCCTGGACCGTAGAGGAGGGTGAAACAGCATCAGGAATGCCAATACCAGACACAAGACTCCGCTAAGTGAGAGATACAGTTTACTTCAGAATACAAAGTTTGGTGTAGGAACCATGGAATGGCCCTGCATGGGTAAGGGGCATGGTCGACGCGAGGTCAGGTCCAGTGATTTATACGGTTCGGGTAGGTGTGATGGTCCTGAACTTGCAAGTGGACCATATGAAAGCTGCAAACTCGCAAATCGTGCAGGAGCAAAACGTGCCTAGCTCCTCGACAGCCATTCCAACTGTTCTGGAGCCTGTGGATTCTTCCTTTCCGTCAAGCATTGAAGATATCTGGGAATCTGAGATGGACATGGCCGATGTGGCCATGACAATGCCTTTGCCACCTGAAGAAGAGAATGAATTTCTTCCGAGATACTCTGGGTGCAAGAGTCGAGCTACTGTCCATTAGATGCTGCCCATATCAGAGGCACAGTTGGTGGAACCTGATCCAGTTCTAAAATGCCCCAGGAGGAGCTACAAAAAATAAAGAACTGATCTATGTCTTTGGACTAGGAGGGGGAGGCATGTAGTGCCTGTAATGAGGTCAGCCAGGTGGGCCTCCTAGAATATGAGTTCCTTGACTGGGGCTGTTAATCTGGTCCAATTAGGGAACCCTGGGTGACAGGCAAGAACAGGAGTATCAGACATTGTCTTCACTCTGAGAGCTGACTCTGAGGAACCTGGATCAGTTTCAAGGACTCTCCATGTATAAATAAAGGGTGACTTGGTGAGTGGATACCGACTTCTGCAGAGTTATTCCAGGGATCACCTGGCTTGCATATGACAGTCTACAAGGTCATAGGTCTCAAATATAAACTAAATAAACTATTCAAATTTAACATTAAGGTTTCTGAAAATTTTAAAAGGTTCGTGCTTCTTTTTCTTTTATTTACTACCAATATTAACTCAGTGATTCCTTTATAAATTTCAAGAATAAATTATGTCCTATTTCTCCCCTACCCATAACATTGTCGTTTATTTTCTACAAGGTACAAACTCTTAATGTGGTTCTCATAATTTATTGATCTAAGTCTTGCACCCATTCTTGCTGTTTTTCACTAAACTCTACCTAATGTTCCTTGTATTTTCCCTTCAGGGTTCTGTCATCTGGTAATGAATCTTTGTGAGACAATCCAGCAGCTTTGTAAAGTAGATGGAGGAATTTGCAATGATAAAACTGCTAACAGGATGAGCTGTGACTGTGGCCTTACATCAATGACAAAAGCAAATAAATGAGAATGTCCAATATTACAGTGTGAATGTAACTGCACAATATATAAACTATTCCACAAGATTTTATTTTATACTTCCTTGCTTTTATTTTCACTCCTATTCTAAAGGCAATGGCTTAGAAATTTTGTCACTAGATATGATCCTGTGCAGGACTTCAAGATGCCATTTGCAGCAGCGCTGATCCTGCCTTAAATGGAATGGCTGACTAATCTGAATGGACAAACTGCAGAATCTAGTCTAGTGAAAAATCTAATCAGGAGGTAGCTCAATGAAACCCCTCAATATAAATGATGTGGTGAGGGAGAAGGTAACCATCATTACCAAAAAGTTGAGTATCTGCGCTTTTATCTCAAAGTGTCAGCCCTGTACTTCAAAAACTGCATTTCAAAAATAATTAATTGGCTGTAAAGCACTCAGATATCCCAAGGACGTGAAATGTTTCTCTTTACAGTATACATTCACTGTTTAACCCTAGCTGGTTGCTATTTTAGTGTAACATTCATCCCACAATACCACATGAACTATCATGTTGCACAAGATGCTGAATTATATCCTCTTTAAACATTTAATTAATATGCCCATTTTGTATCAAGATATCCTTTTCACAATGCAACAGCTTTTGAATTTGTCCTTACAGGAAATTTGTAATTGAAGGGGAAGAGACAATGCAAATGCACTGTTATACATGTAACCAAATGGGAGGCATTGCATCAATTTAGTTCATAATTATGCTGGAGTGTGTATTACATAACTGCAATTCAGGAACGGAGGTATCGTTTGTCAGTTCGTGTCAGTAAATCTCTTCTGAATCCAACAATGATTTCAGCAATTGATTTTCTGGTGCATTAATGGCTGAAAGTCAATTATCACAAAGCGATTTTCATGCAACCACATTTAGCTGTATTGATTCAGCTTCAACCCTTTACCTTCAAAAATATATTGGAACTTGTGTTGCTGCAGACTGCCACTCATCGCTTCCTCAATGGCACTGATGTCTTTGTTCAGTCGCACCACCAAGGGGTCATAATCCATGCTCTCTGCATTTGCAACAATGGCATAGTTGCCTTGCTTGGCCAGTGGGATTAAATAGTGAAAGCAGTGAACTCTGAAGAAACAAGAGAAAATAGTGAAGTCTCAGTAACTGGAATGATCGAGCAAATAACTGCTCGAGAGAAAAGCTATTATTCAGGAATTACGTGCACAGAATAATGAGTTTTTTGAGGCCTTTGGCTTCTATTACCACCATTCAGCTTTGATCTAATGAAAAATGTTTGTCTCCAGATTAATTAGTATCTGTAACCAATTCATCAGCAGTAATAAGTTGTTAATTATTGCCACTGGGGCTGGCTATTCTGTATGAGGAGATATCTTAACTGCAGTATAGTAACATGCTTGGAGACCAACCAATCCTATCAAAAACATTGAAAAAAACTCAGCAGGACTGCTTAATTTCAAATGGATTATGCAATGTTACATTTATGAAAGAATCTCACAAAGACTGTTAGTGACATATATATTTATCATGAATATTTGTGTCACTTACAGGGCAGGCAATGACTATCTCCAGTAAGAAAAGGTCCAGTTACTTCCACCCAATCTCCTGTAGTATCACCACTGAGTTTTTTTTGACTGTGGATGACTGGAGTTGACAATGTTTTGGAATTTTCCGCTTAACACCTTTATGTGGGCAATATCAGTGCAAGGACTGGGGTGATTCAAGAGGTAGTATATTACCTGCTCCTACCTCAAACAACATTTACCCTTCAACTAAATCAAATGAATATAGATTAGCTGGTCCAAACAAACTACTTTCTATATTACAAAAGTAAATTCACTTGAAACCCTCACAAACTACACTACTTTGGACAACATGAAGTTGGAAAAATGTCTACAGAAATGGCTGGGGAGAAAGAAAAAGGAATGTCAAAACCATGACCTCAAAGACTCATGTCTGTCCAGCTCCCTAACTGATTTACTGCTAATACTGGACTGTTTGTAGCGGACGTGCAGGACTGACCATGTCCCACTCTCTGGAGTACAACATACAGATTCTCTGACGCTGACCACCAGAATGCTTGACTATGCCCAGCCCCTGGCGTGAGATCAGATGATCCCCTTGACTTAATGTGCCAGTACCCCCTGACTGAAGACAGTCCCTGTGGACTTATCTAAGGGCCACTCCACTTCGACTTTGAGGCATAGCTGTTTGGTTAAAGCACATTCTGTGTGTTTGCTACATTAGCTGCTGCCATTGGCTGTAGGTGTGACACTGACATACCACAATGCCATATAGTAAATTGTCTGCGCCCATGACTGTCACTGCTGAAAGCATGACAAGCCACCTGATTTTGCGACTGTGCTAAAAGGCAAGGCAGGACAGAAATACAGTGAGCCCTTGAATTCTGAATAAGATGAAAAAGTGCAAAAAGGCAAGCAAGGCATGAAGAAAATGCTGTGAACATCCAATTAGGGGTAAATGAGTGTTAAGGCAGCAAAAAAACTATGAAATGCATTTCTGAAGAAGGATCTCGACCTGAAACGTCAGCTTTCCTGCACCTCTGTTGCTGCTTGGCCTGCTGTATTCATCCAGCTCTACACCTTGTTATCTCATGAAATGCACCTTGCTCTTTTCCATGACTTAGGTGCTTGTTTCTATGCACAAAATGGCCTGGCAGCAGCAAAACAATGTAAGCTGTTGGTGCAATCCAAAGTGCAGTACTGAAGTGCATTACTATATTTTAAGTGAGTCAGAATTGTGCTATGGTAATGTAGTGAGGCTGATGAGGATCGAATGCCAATCTCTGTAGATGGGGAATGCAGATGGTTGCTGTCTATTGAGCAAAGCCCAAGATGTTAGGGACTGCTGGCCGAGAAAGAGGCTCAGAGGAGCAAGTGGCAAGCTGGAACCACCAGGTACTTGCTCATGTTAGGAACTGTCACCATCTAGTTTATCTCCACCGCTTGGGAAAATAGTAAATTGTACATGAATGAGGTGAGGACAGGTAATAATGAGATATCAATACCTGCAAATAGGTTTCTTTCTGCTCACGAGCAAGTTAGAAGGCTTGGTGGCGTGGTGCAATGATAATGACTTCTTTCTCAACGTTGGCAAAATGAAAGAACTGATCATTGCCTTCAGAAAGAAAGGAGGGGAATGCGTCCCCATATATATCAATGGAACCGAGGTTGAGAGCAACGATTTTCTAGGAGTGACGATAAATGACCACCTGTCGTGGACTTCCCACGTAGGTGCGACTGTCAACAAGGCACAACAATGCCTCTTCTTCCTCAGGCGGCTTAGAGATTCAGCATGTGCATAAGGACCCTCACCCATTTTTACAGATGCACCATAGAAAGCATACTATCCAGGTGCACAATGGCCTCATATGGCAACTGCTCTGCCCAAGTCCGTAAGAAACGACAGAAGGTTGTGTGCACAGCCCAGACCATCAGGGAAGCCAACCTTCCATCCATTTACACCTCTCATTGCCATGGAAAAGCTGCCAACACCATCAAAGACCCATCCCATCCCAGTAATGCTCTCCTACGACCTCTTCTTTCAGGTAGAAGATACAGAAGCTTGAACACACACACCAACGGGTTCACGAACAGCTTCTTCCCTCTCCTTAGTAGACTGATGAATGGGCTCTCTAACTTCAAATAATGTTGATCTTGTTAATGTTGATTTTGCTCATGCATGTACTGTGTGGTGTAACCTGAATACCTCACTCTGTCCAAGAGTTCTTTACCCTATGATCTGTATGTCCTTGCTTACTATGAGCTGATTGTATTGCTTGCAAACAAAGCTTTTCACTGTACTTAGGTACACACGCCCAAATCAAATCAATCGATTGCCTGTGTTCAAATCTTTGATGGAAAAGTGGACTTTTTTCTCTTGACATCGAGAACTTTGTTATTCAGACCTTGCCATATTTCATCAGGGGCTGGGATAACATTTCCTAAGAAAACATAGTCTGTTATAAAACAAAAACTGATCATTTTCCCTTACTAATCCCTTTTATTTTCTGCTCCCCAAACATTATTCATCTTCAACTACTTCCAGGTTTGAAGAAAAGTCACATCTGAAATTTCAACTGGTCTGTTCTCATCACCAGTAAACCCACTCTATGCTTCTCACTTCTGTTTTAAAATGTGTTTTATTTAAAACATGTTCATAGATGGGACTGCTTCCAATAAAAATAATCACTTTCCAAGGGATCAAGATGGCAAATAGAACGGTCTTCCAGTTCATACCACCTTGCAAGCTGGTCTATGAGATTTACATTTTTTTAATGCCTTCCAGCTATAATTGTTTTTACTGATTTAATTTTTCATTCTACACTTTAATTCAATAAATATTTGATTAAAAACTGGCTTTAAAGAAAGGAATTGATGAATTTTGTGTCTGAACTTGAGGTGGCAGAAATGAAACACTAGTGGGAAACAGGAGGGAGGGAGAATAGAGGATGGGGAGAAAAGACAGGACCAAGCTTAAATTTGTTCTGTAATGGGGTTCTTGGAATGAATCCCAACGAAGATGTGTTAGAATCTCTAATTAGGGTCTTCGGAGTTATTGCATACATTGGTGTCTTTGTCTCATACAGACTCCCATGTAAATAATTTCTGGAGTTACCACTTTCTGACATATAGGTTGTGCGCTTATGTATAAAGTTTACCCTCAGACCGGTTTGGTAAATTCCTCAACTCTGCTCTATTTAACATTAAAGTAGCTCAGTCATCAGTACTTTTATTGTAATTAAAAAGAATAAAAAGATTAACATTCTTTACGATGTAAACAAATAGATCCTTCAAGTAACGTAAAGAGGTCTTCTAATTCCCCCAATCTAGGATTAATGTTTTCAATGCTCCAGAAGCCTCAAATATCAACAATGTTATTCTGGAGATTTATTACTCCTTTTGCTAGCTTATGTAAAGTTAACATTTTACTACTTTTGACTTTATTTAACAGTATTTTGTTTTTGCTGCATTAGGAAATCCACATCTTCACATACATGCACCATTCCAGATTTCAAAAAAGCCTGATGAAGAGGACACTGCCTGCTGAAAAACCCAAATGCTGCACTAAAATGGTCACGATTCAATTAAGAACAAACACAATGAGGAATGTTAGGCTGAACAAATTAATTCAACCAGAACCTCTTCATTCAAACAATCTTAAACTTGTGGCATTAATTATCAGGAAGCATGACTGAGGCATACAGCACTAACGAAGATAATATTTGCATTTATATAGTGCCTCTCCACACTGATGGATATTTTGAATACTTCAAAGGAATTATTTTTGAGGTGCAGTGATAGTTTTTGAGATAATTAGGCTCAGAGAATAATTTTTTTTGAATAAACAATAAACTACCATTTATAGGGAGAATGCTGGTTCAAAAATAATAGGGCGCCTTTGATTGGTGTTCTTTTATGTTGGGATACTGTACCTGACTTCTAAGTGAAGCACCAGCAGGCACCGGTCAGCCATTTCCTGAAATGACTTTGCAAGATCATTGAGAGTTTCCATTATCTGCTCAGACACTGGAGGAATATCCATGTTTACATGAACTTCTTGTCCTGGAGAAAATGCTGTGAAACAGGGAAAGATCACAGAAATAGTCAGCACACTCTGAGCAAAGTCAGATGACATTGGCTGTAATAAGCATGCATGTTCGAATTTGCTAAAACAAAAGTTGTCCAAGATAGCAAATGCAAGACACATTGAATTTCACTTTATAAAGATTTTTTTGGTTCATTCAGGAATTATGTACATTTCTGACTTGGTCAACATTTACTTCCCATGTCTAATTGCCCTCAAGAAGGCAGTGGTGAGCCACCACACTGAACACAAGGAGTAGTTTACTCGGCCATTTAAAAAGCAAGCAAGAGCCAACTATAGTGCTTTTTGTCTGGAGTCACACGTCGGCCAGATCAGGGAAGGATAGTCTATTTCCTTCCCTAGAGGCTTTTATGATAATCCAGTGTTACTTTGCCATTATTATCAATAGAACATTTCCATTCCAGATTTTCTTAACTTTAAATAATTGAATTTAAATTTTCCAGATACCGTGGTAAGATTTGAACTTCTCTCTTAGGATCATTAATAAAGACATGTGACATTACTAATCCAATTGGATTTAAGGTTATTAATCAGTATAATTCATGCTCTAACTTTGCAAGGAAATTCACCATTCACCTCCCATTTGGACAACAGTCCCTTCCAAGCAACTGCTCTGGTATAATCAGCAAACTCTTCTCCAATGGTTTTCTTTAAAAGCAAGAAGTGGCAATCAGGGACTGTTGGCAAACTTCCTCTGACATTACAGATTGTTTGGCTAGGAAACAGACTGTGAAATTGTGAAAGGTGCTATTTGCTGACCTCGCCAACACACATTCTAAGGTTTACATGTGACATAATTGTCCCTGGCCTGGAATTGGAAAAAGAACAAGAATTTTCACTCCAGATGATAATCCAGTGACATTTGGAAAGTTCTGTGTCTAGTCTACAATGCTAACTGTCTAAACTTACATCTGAGTGATAGATACTGTCACTTACAAAATGAGTTAGTACTTTCATGAGAAACAGGATATTGGACTATAGAATGTAAAAAGGATCCATTCCTTCACAATAAATAAATTTGTGTTTGTTATTTTGTTTCTCTCAAATTGATGTAGTAGGCAAGGAAGTACATGCTTGTCACTGATTTTCAGATCCTCTCTGACCACAAGATAGGTACTAGAAGGCTGGAGTTTAACTAATGTGGTACCATTATTCAAGAAGGGTGGTGGAGATATATTTAAACAACAGATCAGTGAGTGTAACATCAGTGGCAGAGAAACTATGCAAAAAAATTCTGACAGACAAAAGTAATCCCCACTTGGAGAAGGAAAGATTAATCAATGATAATCAGCATGGCTTCATTAGGAGGATATCATGTCTAACACATTTTATTGATTTTTTTTGACGAGATGTTTAGGTGTGTAGATGACGGTAGTGCAATTCATGGGATCTACATGGACTTCAGTAAAGTTTCTGATAAGGTGTCCCATGGGAGACTGGTCAAGGTGGTAAGAGCTCATGGGATCCAGGGTAAATTGGCTTAGTGGTAGGAGGCAGAGTGATGTTTGAAGGTTGCTTTGTCTCAGGAAGCTTGTGTCCGTGGTGTACTGTAGGGTTTGGTGCTGGGTCCTTTGCTGCTAGTAGCATGTAGTAATGTATGAACGTAAGAGGTTTAATCAGTCAGGTCACAGATGATACGAAAATTGGTGGTACAGTAAATAATGAGGAGGAAAGCTTTTGTCTACAAGATGATTTAGATGGGCTAGTCAAATGGATAGGGCAGTGGCAAATGAAATTCAATCCTGAAAATTGAGAAGCGATGCTGCTTGGGAGAACTAACAAGGCAGGGAGATATACAAAGAATGGTAGGACCATGGAAATTCGGAGCATCATAGAGACCTTTTGCATGTCCATAGATCTTTGACGATCGCAGGACAAAAATGCAATTGCATTAGCGAAAGTACAGAGGAGATTCAGCTATGAAAACAAACTAGATTGGCTGGCCTCATTTTCCTCAGAGCAGAGGAGGCCGAGATAGGAACTGATTGGGGTCTACAAAATTATAAGCAGCATAGATAGGAAGAAATTTTTCCCCTTCTTACAAGGCTCAATAACAAGGGGGCATAGATTCAAGATAAGGGGCAGGAGGTTTAGAGGTTAGTTTGAGGAAAATGTTTTCACGTAGAGAGTGGGATGTATCTGAAATTCACTGGTAGGTAGCCTTGCAACATTTAACCCAATGGCATACAAGTGCTGAAAAATGAGATTAGAGTATTAGGTACCTGACAACTGGGAAGAACATGAAGGGCTGAAGGGTCTCTTTACATGCTGTAAAACTCCGTGACTCGACAATTGCTGGACCCTCTTCACCCTTTTTTTCCCCCACTCATTGGAAGGAAACGCTGTGAGATGGGTGTATGCCAGCATTTAAGGCCTTTGTGTAACAGCTGACAGGGTGGGATAAAGACAAATACAGAAAGATAGAGAGAGATAGAGACAGAAAATACTTGTAATGATACATAGGGGAAGTGGGCGAATAGAATGTGGCAGTGGTGAGGGAAGAATGGGATGGGGAAGCAGACATTGGGCTATGATGTGGGCACATTTCTTCTGTCTTTTGGCATTCTTTTAGCAAGATTCCTCCCCTTTCAAATGACTTTAAATTGATCTGACCTAGATTAGTTGAAATACTAGCGATCATATCCTTTCTTAGTCTATCTGCATCATTCTTTACAATAGGGTGTATAATTTCACTGAGTCGCACCAATGAGAATGTTTTCTTTTAAAAATGAAAAGAAAAACACATCTTTTAGTAAGAAAATAACTTATAACACCTGTGCAGTGTATATGTCTGATTTTATGTTACCCAAGGCAATTTTATTTGGTGCAAAATGCAAATGAGACACTTTCAATCTATTTAAATTGCTGGAGAGAACAGCTCAATTTAGTTGGTTTACAACGAGGCGCTGTTGGCAACATCAGCATGGAGTGAGCTGATGACACTGTAACACTAGCTAAAACATTACAAATGGAAAAGATACTTACAATGTTTAAAATAAAACAATTCCTCTATATTTGGTCAGACATTCAATTTTCTTTTAAATTTACATCACAGAAACAGGATTCTTGGCCTGTGTGGTCTGTGGTTTGCAGTTCTTTTTTTTCTGGGTTCCATCTGCACTCCTGGTGTTCTGTAAAAGATCTGGTACTGAATTTGTATCTGAAATCTTAACCAGTCTTTTCTTGTCATTGATGCCCATTAACTTGCTGCAAAATTTCTATTGTTATTTCACATTTTTGATTTCATTTAATTTGTCTATTTAGTTTACTTTGTCAATGCCCACTAGTGGGTGCAATGGTGTGCTGTACATTTGGGCTACTCTGGAGTTTTGTTTTGGAAGAAGTCAATCTTGGGTCCCTGCTCATGATTGTAAACATACGACATCATACACACTGTGGTGCTGGGCAGCATATTTTTTCGAACCAATTCTCTGAAGTCTGATAAAGTTCAACAAGAGACAAGAATAAAAGTAAAGAGTAGTCCTGAAGAAGAGTGAAACTGGACCTGAAATGAGAGCTCCGCTTCTCTAAGCACAGAAGTTGCCAGATGTACTGAACTTTTCCAGATTCCCAGCATCCACAGTAGTTAACTTTTATTCAAAGAGCAAGTCAATTAATTGAAGTTACAATACCTATTTTAAAATACATGTTTGAGTTTAGATAATTAGAAGCTTGTAGAAAATGCACCAGAGGAGTTAGGAGGTGGGGTTTCCATTGATTTTACAAAACGTTCCATTCCATTTAGTTTACTATTTTCTTCCTTCCTTTCAGGAAAACATGATGAATGGTGCAGAATGCAGAATATATTGTATATTTAGATTTTAAAACAGAGGCAGTTGGATATGGGCTACTTCTGTGAAAGTTATCTTCAAAAGGATAGGAGGCCAATTTGGAATAATGACCGAATTACTTCAGTTCCAAGAAAGCATTTGACTGCAGTAGCATGACTGGGAAAACCTCTGCAGTGTTAATTGATACAATGTTCATAATTTTGGGTTTATGATAGGCAGAGTTATCATATTAAAGCAACAAGTTTACTTTTGACTTCAGAATAGAAGGTTCAAACTTTTAGTTCAGAAGGACTTGAGTTCAAAGAACAAAGAGAAGTACAGCACAGGAACAGGCCTTTTGACTCACCAAGTCTGCGTTGACAAATGACACCTTTCTCAACTAAAAACCTTTTGCCTCTACACTGTCTGTATCCCTCTATTCCTTGACTGTTCAAGCCTCCTAAATGTTGCCATTGTATCTGCTCCTACCACTTCCTCTGGCAGTGCATTCTAGGTACTTGCCTCACCTCTCCTTAAACTTTCCCCTTTTTACCTTAAACCTATGTGCCTTAGTAATTGACATTTCTACCCTGGGGGAAAAAAAACACCTCTGACAATCCATTCCATCCATGCCTCTCATAAATTCCTAAACTTCTATCAGGTCACACCTTAGCCTCTGACATATGAGTGAAAACAAACCAAGTTTATCCAATCTCTACTCAAAGCTAATAAGCTCCAAACCAGGCAACATCCTAATAAATATTTTTGTACCCTCTCCAGTTTAGAAGACAACAGTTTTTCTCCGAACAGGAGAATCAAGTCAGTTCAGGGGAACCAGTCAGTTCAGCAAAAGTGTATGGAGCTTCCATGCTAGGAAAGTTTGGATTGAAGGCTTCAAGTTGTTAAACTGAAAAAGTTCAGGTTACTCGAATTGAGAGACTCATGCCTGGTGATTCAAATGAATTGTCAAAAATAAGGTTTCAACTGTTCAAGGAAAGGAAATTGGAAAGCGGCAGTTATGTAAAGATTCAGAAACTGAGATACGAGTGATATTTCTCTAGGACTGAATCTCTGCAATGAAAGGTGTTGGGAAACAGGTTGCAACTTTATACTGAGATAACAAGGTGTACAGCTGGATGAACACAGCAGGCCAAGCAGCATCAGAGGAGCAGGAAAGCTGACATTTCGGGCCTA